TCCACAGCGAAATATATTTCAGTCATCTGAATCTGAAAATGGCGTTGAAATGAATTTTAGCATATCTCGGTTAATTGCAATGCCTTTTGTAAATGGTGAATGCACGCGCACTTTGCTGCAAAAGCCGTTAATCTCCGTCGCAGGACAACATAAATGACAATTCAAACGCGAATCGTTGATTCAAATCGCAGAGAAGTGAAAATATCTCCAGTGGATTTGTTCATTCTCGTATCGTTGATGCCATTCCCAAATGGCTTGTTCGCCGCGTCACATCACAATTTAAAACTTTAAAATTATGTTGTTGCATCGTCAAAAAAAACTTGGAATTTATTGCACGGCTTATTCAATAGCTTGGATGAATATAAATTGGAACTCACTAAACTTATCGACGTGGTTCATCTGTAATGATTGGTCAAGAAAATGTAATGGTATCTCTTCTTTCCAACAAATGGCAAAACCAGAAATTCAACAGAACTAAATAGGAAAAATTATTGGGATTCGATATTACTCGCACTGTAGCTAGCGTGAATTTTATACGATCACGTACGCTTAAAGGGAGTTTATGGAAGTTGGCGCACAATGACGTTGTATACTAATCTAAGGTTCGCTAGCAAAGTCGAGGCAAGTTGTTGCGACACTTTTTGGTTTTGGTTGGTTCTGAAGAAAAGTTATTCAATTGAAAAAAATTAACCCATATACCATTTTGAAGTTTCAAGTTATGTGGTAAGGCTTTTTCATTGATGTTTCTATTCACATTAAATTTCAAACTGCAGGAGAACAATAGTTTTATACAGCATGCATATATGGCATTCCAAATGAAATTGTCCTCTTGGCCATAAAATAACGAAGTGTGTCATTTTCCAAATTGCCAGGCAGTTTTTGAAAAAAAACAAACGATTAAGTGCTAAGATTGCTGCTTAGTCAGAATATCGAGAAACTAGCTATCAGAATTATAAAAACCTTTTTGATATTTCATATGACGAATTACAACCTAAACTGAAATTGCTTTGCAATGAAGAATGAAGAACTGAAGGCAAAATTCAAGGAAGGAAATTTGTAAAATTTTTAATCACATTGTTGATTTGCATTTTTTTAACAGTCATGATTACTAACAAATTATAATAATTAATTACAAATAACCAAAAACTTAAAGGATGAAAAAATTTAAGCATTTAAAAATATTTGTCTACAAAAATATTTAATGAGTGAAATAATTTTCCATTGTATTTCATATTCTTCCATTGCACCTGCCGAAAACGAAATATATTTAGACAAAAGGTGGACAAAAGGTTGTGCAACACCGTCTTTGACATTAGAGAGAATTCTAACAGAATTCACCATCTGATATGGCTTCTCTCCTGGTTGTTAAGAAAACAGATTTCTTTATTAGAGAATCGAAGTAAGGGGTGGAAGAACAACTAAATCTTCAGCACAATTCGGGTTTCGTTTTTAATGAAACGAGTTTACGTCAAGAAAGGCGTCAAGCCCACAATTTTTGTTTGATCTCAGTTAAAGGAATGCTGTGCGGCCATGCTATTCTGTTCTGGTCTTCTGCTCACATGAATTTTTTTTTGCTTTCATTTCCATAAGTGTTTTTTGTTCTTTTTATTATTCTCAATTTTCCTTTTCGTTTTTTCTTTTCCATTATTTTTTCTGTTTTTCTTAATTCTTTGTTATTATAATTATAATTATTTTATTTGCAGCCCAGCAAATAAAAAATGCTGTAACTGAAGTTGAAGAACAAATCGCACCACCCGTTAAAGTAAAAAATTGATTTTCAAATTAATTTCTTACCAGTTCTTGAGGCCATTTTTTATTATGGTCTTGAACTGAACTAAAAATCTATGACTTAGAAATAATAAAAAAGTGATGATGATTTGAAATAAACTTTTTTTTCGACAATTTTTCTAAAAACACAATGATTTTCAATAGTTTCCTCATATCTATGCCCTTATGCTAATATCTACAAAAGCGAGAGCTATTTAATCCCTATTTTTAATTTCTAATTTAATAATTTAACTTTCTCAAATTAATTTAAATCTAACCAAATATGAATTAAATTAATGCAAGTTTTAAAATATAAAATTTTCTTTTAGAGATATCTACGAACAAAATAATGTTATGTAACTCGGACCAATATTAAGAATTCAATATTGGGTGAGATAAGATGAAAACGAGTAAATTTAGAAGTATATAAAATATAGTAAGAAAAATTACGTTACAGGTACATTACTACAAGATAACACAAATAAGGATAAAATAGTAGAATATATATAATTCATATTCATGTGTATTTATTTATATACAAAATATTATACTGTATAAATAAATAAACAACCAAGGCATTTTCAGAATAGTAACTGAAAATTGAAATATTTTGGAAAAATAAGTATATTATAGAATTGCAACTGAAAAAATTTCAACTTGAGGAATCCAGAGATATGATCCACAATTCAGACATAAAAAGCATTTTCATAGGTGATCCTTGGTATAATGTACCTGCCGAAACCAAAAGTTGAGTATGAGATGATACATGATATAAACCATGAAAATATGGTAAGAACCAATAGACTATCGGAGCGATAGTGTAAAATTGACCGGCATGTGTGTGTCCTGAAAAAAACTGCAAAGATTTTTTCATTTCTTTTTTTACTCATTTATTACCAGCTAATTTTCACCATTTATAAATATCTGAGAAAAAAATGTCGAAGATTTGAAATGAAAAATTTTTTATAAATGCCGTCAGATAATTAGATAATCAAACAAAATATCAATGCCAACCAGATAAAATCAAATCAACCCTTAAATTTCTTATATTAAAAGCTATTTCTTTAGCAGATGCTGGGTTATGCGATAGTATAATGACTGGTGAGTTCTGATCACAGTTTTCAATCGCTCTTTCAATTTCAAATTTGTGGTCTGTTATTCTGAAAATAAGTGCTGTAATACATTGTAATTTTCTCTCAACGTAATAATGTCAACTTTATTTCATATAATTTGCAGACTACAAAAAGCCAAATTGTAGTCTGGACTCCAACAAATAAGACAAATTCATAAAAGATTTATTACTCTTCGAACTCTTCTCATAGCATTCGCCATTTCTGGCTTAGCTAGTCTGATCATCCAACATGTTTTCCGGACTACATTAAATATTTCCGCCAAATGGGCACTTATTAATGAGAAAATAAATAAATGCCACAAGAAAAATGAAAAGGTAAATAAATGACAATAAAAATATAATGGATGAAATAATTAGCAAAGATGAAAAGTAAAATAATATGGTGATGACAGCAAATACTTAGATGAAAGGTAAATTATTGCTGAATATAACCAGCGACAGGTGAAAAAGACAAAGGATAAAAAACGAAAAAAAGGAAGATATTTTTATCCATGTAAGAAAAATGAGTACAAATGAGTACAAATGTGAGATATGATATTTGTAAATCATACTACTAAAATGATTCATTAAAAAAATTACCCGCTGCGCCCACTAGAATAATCATTCAGACCAGCCAAGCAAATACCAGAAATGTTGACGTTTCTGAAATACTGTATCATTAATTAGAATGCATATTACTTTATGATATAGCAATATTTCAAATAGCGATATCTATTATTAATCGTATTTTATACAAATTCTGAGAGTCTATTTTATTTAAATAAATTAAAAACCTATTATCAAGCACGTTGATTTTAATTGATTTGAAATAATCCAACCACTCAATTGCATTACCAAAATAATATTCATGATTGCCAGTAACCAAATAAGTTCCCATTTTTGACCGGAGATATCTATAAATGTGTCTCATCGTTTTAAAAGCTAAAAGGAAGAAACAAATAAAGAGGTAATTAAGGGTGGGATATATAAAAATCGCTAAAACCATTTTGTTAGAAAACCACTTAAAACCATTTAGGATTTAGAAATATAGTATAATGGATAGTTTTTACTTCGTCGGCAACGAAGTTTACTTTTGTTAAGAATAATCTATGCAATGAACATTCCACTATTTTCTCGCTGATAATTGTGGGTATGGCTTTTTAATGAAAATAACAACCGAAACAATAAGAGCAATTCTGCATTATAATTTATGAGTGAAGGAAGTACCATTCTCAAAGAAAGAAACAAGAACGTTAAAAGGAGAAATTAAGAAAAAAGAAAAAAAACTTTAGTGGGAGAAGACGTTCAGAAATATCATCACGCTGTCCATCAACAATATCACCGTCAATAAATACCGCATCAACATCTTTGGAATTAACTCGGTGAACGACCTTAAATGAAAGTATATTGCATTATATATCATAAACTTCCAAAAATTTTTAAAAATTGAATTAGATGGAGCGATCACATCAAGCTGAATCAGTAGTTTGCAATAAACGTAAGTCCCTTTGCACTCTTTTAAAAACATCGTCGAAAGCCGCCGATTTAAACTTTACCATACTGAATCACTGCCATGCTCCATTTCCTTAGAATCCTTTTTGTACCCTATTATATTAGCCTAACAATCTACTCTGTTGTATACTACTGACAAGCCATTACACCGACTAGCTATCCCTTTCCAATGCCTTTATAAACTCATAACAAAATATTCAATACATTTTCTCAAAATTTGCCCTGGAGGCCGCTATGACCAAAGATCCTCGAATATTTTTCTCTAATCCACCCTCCCGAACCACTATATTTTTTAATATTTGGGCAATTTTCTTCTGGTAGAAAAAATCGCAAAAATCGTTCAATCGATTTTATTGGATTATAGATAGGCATGAAATAGTTTGAGTGGGTTTAAACTTAGCGTAGACTTATTTGCCTATCTATAAATGCACTTGCACTTTTTTCTAGCCCTCGTTGTGGCGAGTATTTTTTGTTACTATTTCCATACAAATAATATATAAATCAGATAAGGAAGAAAAGTGATCGTTATCACATATCACCAATATCTACCAATTGTTTTAACTAAAATCGAATCTTTAAAAGGTATATGAAGCAACAACTTGAAAGCCACTAATTTAAGCCAACTTTACCCTATGGTATCTAATTACCACTGAATGAAACATTCGTTACAATGGAAAAAACCATTAAAATACAGCTATTAAATATTAAAATTGCTAAAATTATAGCAAACTAAATCAAATGAAAATTTACCCAATAATAAGCAATAAAATAAGAAAAAAAACCATTAAAATTTGATCTAGATTAACATAACCACCGATATGCAAATCCGAAATAAGAGCAAATCTTAGTCCAGTTGCATTATTCGGCAAATCTTTCAGCTTAATGGTTATTTCCTTAAAAAAATTCAATTTGAATGCTTCTCATAATTCATTTAATATTTAGGAATAATAAATTGCTGTCCCTTTTTAATAGTTTTTAAGGGTGCTGAAAAATCGAAAAAGATAAAAAAATAACTGGATATAAAATTATCCCAATTAATTATTTTAAATTATGCCTGATCAATTCATTTCAAAAAGTCTAAAACAAACCTTAATCGTAATGTTATCGCTATTGATAAAGGTAACTAGAGAGATTACAACTGCTAGATTAATACTGAAGAATATAAGATATCTAGAATCGATTAATGGAAGAATTTTTCGTGAATTCAAAGTCTCTTCGGATGTAAAATAATACTGAAATCGATTTGCCTAATTAATTCATCTCTGATAATTAAATTGAAGACAATGTGCTTTTCAAGGTTCTTCAAGGTTATATTCCATAAAAATCTTCGAATAAGTAAAAAATTAAAAAATCTCTAAAAACGACTCTATATTTTGACAGTTGAAGGAGAAAATTAAAAAATATACGAGCTACGAATTAAATGATTTCCTTACATATATATGTTTCACAGTTAAAGATATGCAGGTCGATGCGAAAAGAATTATGACCAAATGATACCATAAGCCGACTGATAATAATGAAATACCAAATAAAAAATTTTGTATAATCTGAGGAGCATAAAATAGAAGATCAGCTAAATGCGATAAAACTAACCAAACGATAATGAGAGAATGGAAGAAATGCGTAAAACGCTGAAATTTTAAATAATATAAATAGACCAAAAGAAAATGGAATTTGTTTTCCTAAATTTGGAATTTGTTTAATTTTTTATGGTTGAAAATCATGTTTTTCTTGAAATAAATATTCTAAAATTCCAAAAATTTCTTTGACAGACGATATATCAAACGAAAATAAATTAAATTATGGAAAAACCTATGAAAAACTATGGAACGAAATTAAAGAATCCAATAACTTACGCTTTTCGACTGATGCTTTATACTAAATTTATCGTTCAACGATCGTCTTTCTTGGTTCGAATGAATGAAAGAAACTAATCGGTTATAAGTGAATATACTAAGTGGAAATTTCATTAACTCATACTTGAGAACAGCCAATAAATGTAATCGATTGCCTCTTCGATAATCATTAACTGCACTGATCTAAAATTTAATAGTTTAAAATTAAAACAATGAATAAGCTATTCACTTTGTTTATAATTACTATTGACACCACGTATAAAAAATAATAATCCCAAAAATGATAATCTCAAATATTTCTTTAGTTCCAGCTTTTGTGAATACTTGAGAAATTATTTTCTTCTTTGAATGACATATTTAGATTTAGATAGGAAACTAAAGGAACTGAAAAAGATCATTAAAAATTTTAGACATGTTATAAATTACAAAAACTGAATTGAAAGATCTTTGTAAGGATTCAAGGACGTAAGGAAGGATTTTAAAATGAAATTTTAAAGTTTTTTTTAAATACCTTAAAAGATTCCAAAATGAAAATTAACTTAAATTCCTTAACCTATTCTGAATTCTGAAGAGGGAATAAAATGGTCCAACGTTTAGTTATTATTTCGAAGCGCGAAAGCTTGGGCTCCTATTCCCAGGAGAAAATTGCCTTTCAAGACTCCGGGCAATGCCCAACTATATTTCTAGCTTTTAATTAGCCATGTGAGATCTCGGCAAAAATTTCGATAACCAAAAAAAAAATAAGTATTCTTTTATTAAAAATATAATAAAAAACTTCTTTAAAGGAACGAAAGATTAGCTCTAAGGCTAGTTGAAATAGATATCTTAATACAAATAAAAACCAATAAAAATGCTTATGCGTTGCCATAAATATATAAAGGAACCAACTACCAAAACGAAAACCTTACAAAAAATGATCCGAAGATGTGAAGAAAAAGAATGCCCATTATGCAAATCAATACAGAAATTGTCTGCACCGTCCAAATAGCCATAAATTCCTATTTGCATATACACGTACTTATCTGAAAAATTAAAAACCTAAAGATTTGACATGAAACCTCTCCCAGATCTTACCCAGGAATTAAAACTTTCGTCCTATCACATGCTAAAATCCATTAGAAAATCCATGCGACTTCAACTATAACCATGAAATCTAGAACAAATATTAAGTTGGTTAGCCATATTTATGTATCCAATAAAGATATTGATAAATTTTTATATTTATACTCTTTCTTCTTCTAACAGCTCTCACCATTACTGGTTAGGCTGGCTCCGCTGGCTACAAGGGTAAAACGTCTCCAATCCGTTCGGACCGAATTCATCGCTAGTAAGAATAGAAGCCATTCCTTTTTCCATCATCTAAGTCCATATATCGCTGGTGCCCCTATACGATATCTTTTCTGACTGTATCAGTCCAAGTCTTGACTGGTCCTTCTCGCTCTTGGCTATTTATAAATAAAATGTATTAATAAAATATTGCAGAACTCATCATTTTGATTTATAAAAATATAAAAGTGAAAAAACAAACAAAAAACAAAAAATATTAGGCGAAGAACATATTTCAATATTTGAAACAATAATTATGAAATTTTTTCCAAACATTTCAATAAATTAATTATTTACAAAAACTATTTAAAAAAATCACAGAAACTGGCATAAATTTTCGAAATGTAAAAAAAATTCCAAACTTTATTTTGTAGAGTAGAATAGTATATTGCTTAGATTATCGGTTCAAGTACCATGGTTTGAACTCTAGCGGTTAATGGGATTAAGTCTTGTCATAATCAAAGATAAAAGCTATTGAATACTCTCCTAGACTTTTATCCTCGAGTAACTCTTTAGCTCATCATAATAGTCAGCTTAACTAAAGGACTGAGAAAAAAACTTTTCCTAGACAACTCTTGAAAATTTAAATCAATCGAAATAATTTTATTTGAAAAAAAATCGACTTATTTATTCAGTACAAATTCATTAATATAACTGACAATATTTTTCAGTTAAGTACCTAATAAATAAAAGACCTAGAGATTTACTGAATTAAGTTACATGCATTTTTTATACATCACAAGAGTCATTAAGAGAAACAGCAAATTCATGATTCAATGCCGTTATTGCCATTCTCATTGATGCACGAAAATTGCGCAAATTTTGTTGAAATATTCTGGAAAAAAATCCTTTCATTCCATTAAAATCTAATAATTAGATAAAGATTATCTGAAGAAAAAATTAAAAGTTAAATTTAAAAATTTGTAAAAATTTCACCATTAAAAAACAAAGTGAAACGATTATCCTAAACATCAATTATTAGAATTAAAGCAATTATAAAAACTCACGAATGATCAAAATTTTTGATCAATTCCATCCGAAATGAATTCAGCAATGTCCTGAAAAGATGGACAACGAATGCTATGAGACTATAAGCAAAAAAACACGACCAACAAGTATTTTACCAATATTAGTTCTATGGTTTTTTTTCAAAAATGTCCAGATACAAAAAAAAGAGAACATTAAAAAGTAGATGATATAAATTAAATTGAGAAGATACTGAAGAAATATAAAAATTTTGACCTAAAATTAAACTGTTCGATATAACAAATTTTTTAATTTGTTTTTTTTGTACCTGAAGATTCGATTCTTTTATTAAACTGATTTTAAAAAAAGAACCAATTATTAGAAAAATACTTTGATTCAAGAGAGAAAAAATTCTGAAGACTTTCTTCAAAGGCTGATACATCAACAACAATTTGCGTGGTTTCTCTACGCGGCAAAGAGGTGAGTTTTGATAACTGACTCATCAACTGCTCAAAAGCATATTGAACTACACAACACAGCACCTAAACGATGAAAAAATAATTGGTATTAGAAATAAAAAGGTTGAAAATAAAGAGAATAGATGTAATTTAAAAAAAAAGATAAAACATAATGAACCTGCTGCATAATATGAGGAGCCAATATGCAAAGTTCGGACTGAATGAAAACTATGTTCATCAAAATTTCTTTAATATAATCAGAAGCGTCTGAAAACTAAACTCTTTTTTTTCAGCTTATTGTTTATTGTAATTCTAAATCAAGATAAAAAATGAAAAGAATAGGATGAAATATATTTGCATCGATAAGAAATCATACCAGTATTTGGTAAATCGGTATAATTAAAAGATTGTACAATCGACAAGAAGCTAGAACATTTGAGTTTAATATAATAATTGATCAGGTTCTGACGGAAAGCGAGTAATCGTGATTTGCTTTGCTAAAAAGAGAATTCTTTGGAGATTGTTGCTTCCTCTACTAATAAAAACATACTTCGAGTATAACATCACCATATTTGACTCCATTATTTGTAAACCGTCTGCATAATGATGGAACAGAATTGTTGACAACATATTCAACATTACAAACTGAAATAAGCAATTTCTTGCTATTTAAGTTACTGTCACCAAAGAGAGAGGACGGTCGTCGCGAATCACTTCTAAAATTTTTCATCATTAATTTTATTCATTAATATTCAAAAAACAGTAAAAATACAATACAACTACCTTAGCTGAAGCAGATTTTCAATACAATCGCGAAATGAAGTGATCACCATAGTGAACAAATCAGTAAGGACAGTACGGAAGCAGTCGCGAGAAAAAAGATCCAATTCACCAGGAAAATTTGATGAAGATAAAATCTGATTGATAGATGGCAATGAATCGTTGATCTAAATTTTTAAAAATATTTCTTATTCCATAATATTTTAATAATATAACATAATAATATAAAGTAAAGGAAAAGTAAGAGAAAAATTAAAAATGCGGCTAATTTTATTAAAAAATAGGCCAAAAACTAAATTTCAGAAAAAAATGAATGATACCTCATTTTCGTAAAGAATAGGCAACACAGTTTTTCTATGTTCATTTTGGTTGTAGTCAATTTTCCAATTTTCTTTACTTTCTAATGCGATAACTCCTACAAATAAACAACAATTCACTTAATTTAGCTCAACAAAATGAATTAGTTAGGATGAAAAGTGAATTTTTGAAATAAAATAACAGTCTCAAAATGAAAAAAAGGCTCGGAGAATATCGAGCATTTCGGAAATCTCTTTTACCTTGACTATATTTTTCAACGATTTTCGATAAACATTTTAATCGAACAGTGACGCATAATTCAATCAAAGGCTGTAAATGATCATTTGTAAAACTATGATCCAACATTGTATTTATACAGTGCCTAAAATAAGGATAAACGATTGGGCTTTGATTGGCAGGCTAAGGGCTAAGAATGTGAAAAAAGTATCATTTTTTCATTTTTTTCATTTTTCTATTTTCTAAAACTTTATCAAAAATTTGAAACAGAAATTTTAAAACAAATTCTATAAAACTGTATTCCTGTATTCTTTCCAACTGATAAATTTTCAAAAACTCAAATCAAGTGCATTGATAAAAAATTTTTCTTATAACTTTTTAATAAATTTCCGCTTACCTCAAAATTTTTAGCGAATTGAAAAGTTGATTAGTCAATACTGATGGCGCAATTGATGGCCATTCGACGAATTGTTCTTTATATTGACTTTTTACTGCTATAGGTAATGATGTAGGTACCAATGCGTTGAGCATAAGCCACGAAGATACATTTATGGTATTAATAAGCATTTGCTAAACGGGGCTCAATAACAACAATAAATTTATAACAATAAATTTAAAACTTAAAATAATATATTATAAATATGGATCGAAAGAAATAAAATTTCATAAATAAATCTGGAAATGAAATCTTATATATAAAAAATTTAAATTAAAAAATTCTTTTTTTAAATCTCTTAAAAAAGTGAAAATAAAAAAAAAAATAAAAAAAGAAAAATGCGAGATTTACACAAATAATATCTATGAAGATTTTATCGAATAATACTTCCTATTGAAAATACGAAAATACGAAAATGTGGAAAGACCACACTAATTTTCAAAAAATTTCAAAATTTAAAAACAAACATTTATATCAGCCTGGCGATCGAAAAAGTTAGCCACTGTTGCTGAAGAAGAATATACTTGTGACAATTTCCAGAATATCTGTAGCTTATCTGTGATCAAATTCACTATTTCCTGTATGAAATCTTGACGCCCATAAATATGCCCATTCATTACTTAAATATTTAAAAATATATATATAATTATAAAAAATATACATAATTAATTAAATTAAATATAGGAAATTATAGAACAAAATTTGATAGATTTATAACATCAACATAATTAAAATATTCGCCTATAAATGATTTTGAATGCAATTATTTATAAGTTAAATGCAATTATTTGTAACTTGCAATGCAATTGAATGCAATTTTATATAATTATCATAACCAAAAGCTTACGCGAAAAAATATCCTTCTTCTGCGCATTGATATCAACAGCTTCAGAAGTAACTGAAATTTATCAGTATTCCAAATCAAACAAAACGAAATATGACAGACAATAGCAAGATATAATAAAATGTAGAAAATAAACCTGATAATCAAATAAATGTAATCAAAATATTTGATAAAATATGCCAATATTAATAAAAATATCAACAGTGTGTAATTTTTTGGGCAAAAAAACTTAAATCTTAATTTCCCTGGAGCAAAAAAAGGATCAACTGGTCTATAATTTATTTTAACAAATAAACGGCTGAATTTACCGATATCATGATGCTTGAACTGAACTTGCCATAGGAGATCTTCTAACCAACAGTGATAAGCCGTTATACAATCCCAAGCTGGATCTGAATCAGGTTCTAGAACCTCAAAAAATTTTTCGATTCATTTTTTTGCTGAACCTTCAAATTTTTTTAAAGGAATTCACTGCAATTTAAAAGCAAATGATTAACCTTTTCACGAAAAAAACAAGCCTGTTCAATATTAATTTTAAAATTTACTGAAAAAGCTGGAATAAAAGTCTGGGAAAAAATAGAAAAAATTTTAAAATAGAAAATGAACGGTGTTCTATTAAATTCTTCATTCAAAATAAATAACCTTTAGATATTTTATCAATTTGCTTTGATCTTCAAAAGATGTTGGTATATCAATCAGTTGTTGTTTCATATTTTTTTTAAATATTTCCATTTTATTATCAAGTTCTTGCATCACTAAAAAATTTAAAAGAAATTAAGAAGAAAACAAAAACCCATTTATTTAATAAAAAAGAAATTAATAATCAAATCAAATGAATCAGCAATATATAGAAAAGAAATTTTCAGATTCTATTAATTTTTAAATCTCTATATTTTTTCTTTACATCACATTTTTTCAAAAACATTTTAAGTAAATATCCAATCGAAATTAATCATCCACCGTAAGTAAATCAAAAGAAAAGTAGAAAAATTGTAAGCAGTTCCTATGAACGATTGAAGTTATAACAATTCTGAATTTTAAAGGCAACATATCAAGCGACTATGATGTCGATGATGGGGTATCTCAAAAGGGTACTTATTTTTCTTCTAACAGCTCTCAGCATTACTGATTAAGCTGGTTCCAAGGACTACAACTGTAAGACAGAGCAGAGCGGTCTGTTGTTATCGTCGACAATAACAGAAGCCATTTTCCATCGTCTAAGCTACTGGTCCACCTATACGTTCAAAAACTTTTCTGATCGTATTGTCATAATTTGCCTATCTCGCTTTGACGACACCCATCACATAGTTTAGCAAGTAGCGAAATATGGATCAACTCCCGTGGTGGACGATGGAGAACATGCCCTAACCAGTGAAGGCGAGGCTCTGTGATAACATTATTAACAAATGGTATCTGAACGAAAATGGTGCGATCATGTAATATTTCATCCGCTCGACGAACCGTAAAATGTACCTTAGACAAATGAATGGTCAATAAATAAATGAATGGTTAATAATTTCTTAATTCCTCCACTCTCACTGGCCATGTCTCAGAATCATATGGCAAGATCGAACGAATCACGGCTATGAAGATGCGGATTTTCGTTTTTCTGGTGATTTCACGACGGCTCCATAAAATTTCATCAACATTTCTAGCTGCTGTGATCCGAGTTATAATATCGTCTTTTGTCTGGCCATTTGGTAATAGAATAGATCCAAGTTATTTAAAATTGGGCACTCCCTCAAGCGCCAATGAATATGTAAAAAGAGGTATTTTATCAGCTTCTTACACATAAGGCGAAAAGTCTTTCATTTTATTGACTCTGTGTCAAATTCTCGCTGCAGCTGCTGACACATTATTTGCATTTCTTCATAACTGTCAGCAAAAAGGACTAGAGCATCAGCGCATCCAAGATCTATGATACGATGCTCTGGACTGATTTGGACACCTCTTGAGTGCCCACAAGTGGTGTCCATTACCCAGTCTATCGTATTGTTGAATATTGTAGGGGAAAGGACGCCAATTCTTACTTCGAAGGAGTCTGTCGCATCCTCATATACATGTGCCTACGTATACTCAAAAAATGCCTTTATTAATAGAATGATTTTCTCTGGAGCATCATCGCGTTCCATCATCCTCCAAAGTGCCGCTCTATCAATTGAATAAAACGCAGCCGCAAAACGCCCCGATCTGAGTCCAGCTTGATTAGGAGACTGATTCTTCGATAATTGTTGCAGTATATTTGTCACCTTTCTTAAGCCCAATTGCTTTGCTCCAATCATCTGGTAGTATTTCTTTTTTCCATACCAGAGAGTACATTTGTTGAAGGTGCGCTGTGAAAGACAATGGACAACATTTGAAGAATTCAGCCCTTTCTTTGGCTACTTTTTCCCGTCAGTACCTCTGTTCCAAGTCAGGACTGGTAATTACTCCAGACCCGAAGTTAGGAAAATGGACCTCAGGTAAACATGCGATATCCACACGGTGTTTAGAAAGGGTGTAGAGAGTGATCGCTTGACTTGCAACGTCCTTTAGCGTTCTGACGTTCCAGGTTTATGTGGCTAATGCCTCGCCGTTCAGAGAGCTACTCCTCTCTTAGATTTTGAGCAATTACCTTGGCTTGCAAGCACATTTTATTTTATTTATTTATTTATCAGCCTTGAGATCGCTTTACGCCCAGATTGTATACTAACCGCAAGTACCACTAGGATTACCATGCAGATCGGAAGACGCAGAGGCGGCTTCAAGAATATCTGATCCTTTCACCATAGAATCACTTGGGGATAGAGTTAAAGGTGGGTCCAGCAACAACCCGGATTTTTGAGATGGTAGGTTTACTCCTGTCAAAGACGGATTATAATTATTTTATAATATTATTTATTTTGTAATATCATAATAAAATAATTAACTCTTTATTATATATATATATAATCTAACTCTTTATATACATATATATATATTTTATCTCAATTCTTTGTTTTTCAAATTTAGAAAAAAAACTTAGCTCGTCATTAATAGAAATTCTAAAAATATTCAGAAAAAAAGCGTAAAAAAAATAGGGAATAGAAATACAACAGCTCAAGATTGGAATCTTAATTAAAAGGATACAAAATTTGGAAAGCACTGAGTATAAAACGAACCTTCTTTGAATAATGGCACTTCTGTGTCTTTAAATAGTGACTTAGCCCTAGTATAATCATTCAGAATTGAGGAATATTCACCCTATAAAATTTGTAATTTAAAATATAAAAGTTGACGTCATATAAAATTCAAAATGAGTAATTTATCAAACGTTAAAGGATTAACAAGTACCTTTGCAAGATTTTGATCAATTGCACTTGATAAGAAAAAGATAAAACGAAAACGCAATAAAACTGATAAAGCATTTCGGGTAGCATCCGCACGGTCCTTACGACTTAAAACTTCATGAAAAAGGGCATCTGCAGTTATTTGACATTCTTCCAGCTTTAAATGAAAAACTATTCGAAATGATACATTTATTCAAAAGAAAACCATTTAGATTAGATATAAATTTTCATAAAATAAATAAATGAAAAAATAATGCGATTGAAAATAAAATTACCTTTTCACGAATATTTTTTGTAAGCGGCCAAGATCGAGTATTCCTTTCAATTTGTAAACAATCATGGAAAGCAGCCAAAGCATCGACGCAATTTATTAATGAATAAAGATTTGCACGATGTATATCGACATTACCTTGGCTGCCTTCAGAAATCTTGCACTCTAAGTTCGATAGACCGTTACGCAAATCAACCAAACTTAAATTATTACATAAATAATTATAAATAAATAAAAATAAAAACGACGATTTCCAAAATAGATGTACAAATAAATATTTTCTTTTTGACCTGAAACTTCTCAAGTCAGGGATGCCTCAGCCGTATTGGCTCCTTTTTTCTTCAAAAAATTTTATACGGTTGCGCTAAACTGGGTTGTATCGATTATAATCTCGATCCGAATTTTAACGCAACAGCCTGAAGTTGCCAAAGCCTATTCGCAGAACTAAGGTGAGAAGTCATACTTTCTTCATTATTTTAATAAGATTAAAATTTTTATTTGATGCGGTCCGTACGCCATCGCTACTTAATTTTAAAAGAAAATTAAATAATATTAAATTAAATTAAATATTAAATTAAATAATAATGGCATTGTATAATGGCAATGGAATACCTAATAATAATACCATTATTAAACCAATATCTAATAATACCATAATATCTAATTGTATAATTGCTTTTCAGTAGAGGATAAAAAGCAGACAGAAAATATTTTCATGATATTGACATAATTTGATGCTTTTCTTATCTTTATTATTATATGATATTTTTTCACCTTTTTCTCCTAAGTATGCTCTGCTTAATCTTTAATAACTCGCAACAAAAACAAATAAAAATAAGAAAAAGGGAATAAAAGCAAAAATTAAGGCACCTGGCTTCACGATCATTTTCCAACAGATACCACATTGGATTAAAATTTTCCATACGCCGATTACCTGAGTTATCCGGAAACATATGCATCAACTCGTTTTGATCCATTTTTTTCTGCCTAATAAATATTAGATAAATTTTCTGCTGGAATATCTAATAATAATACCATTACTAATATCTAATAAGGCAGAAACATGAAAATGGTTTTTCATATTTCTGCCTTATTTTATAAATCTTAAAGTACCATATTTAACTTTTTATTTATCCTCTATTAAATTTATTTTCCCCTTTTTCAGTAAACTAGTGGTTCTCCAACCATATTATTTAATAAAGTCAGGAAATCTCAGCTTTTATCAGGAAATCGTGAACTGAAACTTGAAAAAGAGATATTAGATAGATAAAGAAGAAACATTTTTATTGCTCTACTAAATGTAGAACATACGAATCAATTTTAAGTCCAAGCGCATCCAAGGTTTCTACAGCTTCTGAAATATTATTGCGAACAGCTTCACGACCAGGTACTGAGCGAGATTCGTCAACCCAAACAGCACTGTCTTCAAGAGGACCGATCTGCACTAAAAAAACACGAAATGTCACAGTAGATATACTTCTACCCATTGATTTTGTCACTAACACTACTTCGCCAACTCCTCTTTTAGCTTGGCCAACTCCTGAAAACAAACACTGTTGAAAAATTATGTTTTAAAAAACAGTTGAATATTTTTACAAGTCAGTAAATAATGTAAACACAGCACAGTATAACAAAACTGAACCTGGATGGAAACTTCAGTATCGAATAAAAAATATGGGTGATGCTGGGGATTCACCAGTAGCACTATTTCAATTTCCTAATAAAAATATCTTGTTAGCATAACAGCCCGAATGAACCAAAAATGCTGAGTGCTAACCATTTATTTACCTGCTTTACTATATATTCTGCTCAAATAATGGCAATTTTTTCAAAATAAATTTTGTGCATTTTTTTTGTCCATTCACCCAATTTTTGTCTTTTTAAAAAAAATTTTTTTTAAATTAAAAAAGACCATCTGAGGCCGAATTTTTAATTTATATAAATTTTAGAAAATTTTACTAGCAATAATTAAAGATGACGATTTCCATTTGGCTGATAAAAGACAGTCGGTACCGCAAATCGACAATGCTAATAAATCTGACTGACTTTTCCCAAGATTTTCACCGCGAATCTTTATTTGTGTTCCTGGAACACCTTCTTTCGGCGATAAACCGCTTATTACTGGACGATTCGCCGTCTCACTATTCGCTGTTGGATGCAAATCCGACATCACTAAATATCCAAATATACTATACAAATTTTGAAAATTCGAACTAAAACCAAAAAATGATAATGGCGACAAATAAGAAATAGGAACTGGCAAAAAGCACTGGTGAAAAACGCCTTTTCGCTGTTACTCAGCCAGCGCAATGTCACTGCTGACGACCAAATCCTTTCTCTTTTCCTCATCTCTCTGCATTCCTTCATCACTCTCTCCCTTCCTGCAACCATATTTTTGCGATGCCCATGGCTGAAGGAATTATTCTTTGATAAACATCGCAAATGCCGCCACTCATTTTTCTAACCGATCTAGCAAATCAATAGCTAAAGTTATGCGCCAAATTTATTATTCTCATGGTAGAACGGATAGCCTATCTCCACTGCAGGAGGACCTCAACAGAATAGCTGACTGGCTATACGACAGGCAAATTACCCTTTCCTTTCAAAAATGTAGCGTTCTTCACATCAACTCTAAAGGATTTGATCTTCCTAACCTTTTTATAAATGGTAATTTAATCAATAGAGTCTCACACATCTCCGATCTTGGAATAATCATGGATGAAAATCTCGATTTCGATCTTCACTGCAGAACCATAGTAAAGAAATCCTCAAAGATACTAAATTTTATTTTTCGTTCGTTTAAGAACAAAACTGAAAGTTTTCTTATCAAATTATACAAAGCATTCGTTCGGCCTCTTCTTGACTACAATACTATATGTTACTCCCCTAGACATCGCAAAACAGGCAAAATAATCGAAGGACTCCAAAAATATTTTCTAAGACGCCTCTCTCCTAATAAAAATTATAATTTTAATTATAAAAGAACACTTCTACAACATAACATGGATTCTCTCTCAGTTCGTAGAATTAAACAAGATTTAATTTACACATATAAGATTCTGTATGGTTATGTTAAACTAGATTGCTCGAAATATTATAACTTTAGACTAAATTTGAATCCAACAAGAACTAATGGCTTAAAATTACTAAAACCTATATGCAAAACTAAACTAAGGACCCATGACTTCTTTATTCGTACTATTAACTACTGGAACAAATTACCGAACGATGTAGCTTGTGCGTCATCCCTAGCTGTCTTTAAAAAAAGACAATATCATTTACGATATTATTTAAAAACAAAAAAAAAAAAAAAAAGAAGAGTTTACCCCAGGCAAGAACTGCAGGAAGTGAGAAATCTCGATTTTATCTTCAGGTTATATATGTTACTTCGAATTGTACTATATTATATTGGTATGTAATTTCCTCTTTAAATTGTTAATTTTTGTCATATTGTTTTATATTAATTTTGTTTATGTTATATTTTTTTTTTCTTTTCTTTTTTTTGTATTTTCTTTTTCTGTTATCTTAATTGTTATTATTAATACAAGCACATGGTGTTGTCGCCCTGCTTGGCTGGTTATCAATAAATAAATAATGAGAATTCTTCGCTAGAGAACCATTAAAGAATAGAAAACAATAGAAAAAAAATAGAAAATCAGATGAATGGCTCAGTCGAAACAACATAATATGTAATAATTCCCACTTGAAAAGTCAAAATACATCTTGCGAACTGAAGTTACAGATCGATTTATAAAATTTACTTCGATATTGTGCTATTCTTCTTCTAACAACTTTCATTACTGGTTAAGCTGGTTCTGCTGATTATAAAGATATGACTTTTCCAGGCTGTTCGATCCAGCGCCACCTCTGATAGTATTAGAAACCATTCTTTTTGCAATCATCTAATTTTATATATGGCTAAACCGGTGATCTATACGTTCGAAATATTTCCTAACTATATTAATCCAAGTCCTGATTGGTCTTCCTCGCTTTTCCGATGTCATCGATCACAGGGATTACCAAGTAACAAAATATTTATCAAGCTCTGTGGTAACGAAGAATATGCCCTAACCAGCGACAGCGAAGTTTTATGGTGGTATTGTTAATGCAAGTGGTATTTAAAGGAATATGCAATCATGTGAAATTTTATTTGCTCAATGAACTCATCAAAAATGACATCTTAGACATGAGTGATCGAAGGAAGATAACTTCTTAATATCCACCACTTTCATTGGCTATATCTCGCAGCCATATAAGAGTAAGGTTAGTAATTGCAACCATTTTGTTTTTATAGTGATTTCGCGATGACTCCATAAAGATTTCCAAGAAAGTATTTGTAGCTACCGTTTCTCTCGTTGTGATTTCGTCTTTCACTTGGTCGTTTGAGATTAGAGATTGAGTGGATCTAAAAAATTTAAATTCTGGCACTTCCTAATGATGGAGACGAATTGACATAAGGAGAAATTTTATCAGCTTCCGTAGAAAAGAAAATATTGTGTTCTACAAATATTAATTTTATCTTAATTTGCTAGTGATAAGTAGAATAATTTCAAACAATCAATGTTTGAATAATAGGAAAGTAAGAAAAAGAGGCGGTAAGGAGTAATAATAGTAATAGCTCAGATTAAGGTTGCTTTCCCACTGAGCATCAGAGATTCGATTCCTGGCTTTGACTGAAGCAAACCTGAGTCAATAAAAATACGGGTGGAGCTGACGATTCGATTTTTTTTCATCAAGTCTTAAAGCAATGAAGATTTTTCGGACTTTATAACCTTTCTTCTGTGATATATGAAATATGTGAATATCAAATGCCAATAAGATAGAAAACAAACTTGTTGAAAACAATTATCATTCATAGTTAAATGAAAATTCCAAGGGAAAAAATTCATGGCGATCTATTGATATATTCTTGAGTACTGGTAATCTACTAGATAGGTCCAATAAGATACAAAAAAGCCAAAAAAGGACATGTATAACGTTCTTTAGAATAGAGACGTACCAGGTAGCACAAGCAATTGCTATATCAAATAGTTTGCAGAGGAGTCGAATTCAGCTTCTTATCTAAACGCGATGAACTAGTTGCAATTTAAGAAAAAATATATGCGACAAAATAGAAAATCATTAGCCATTATAATCCAAATAATTAAATTTTTTTTAAAATGATGTGGTCAGTATGGAATTACTCAGTGAGTTTTTGCTCTTGTTTGGAGCGCCGATGCTGAGGTTCGATTCCCCGGAGTAAACCTGTACAAAAATCCAGGTAATGCTGGCGACTCCCTTGTACCTCCATCCAAGAGGCTACATGGCATACCCAATGCGACAAACCAGTGGAGCGAGTTTAACCAGTAATGGTGAGGACTTTTAAAAAAAAAAATGCGTCAGGATGGTTGAGCGGTACATTGACATAGATTAAGAGCAGAATACCGAACGCCGTGGATGTGATTATTGCCTGGTGAAATGGCAAATCTACCATTGAAAGAAAATTTCCACTACCTATATTATTGAAATGATCCAAATGATCCTCTAGCTCAAAGATTTCACTCTTAACAGATGCATTGGAGCCAATCACCCAAGCCACCCAAATGGTTACCAGATGGAAAATATTTTAAAATTTTTCGTAACTGCTTCTAGAAAAATATGATAGAAAACATTTCAAACCCACCTGCTTTTAAGTAAGTAAAAAGAAATAAGGCAAATATTTGGTAATTCCTAGTTCCTTTCACCTATTTTCTTATTTATAAATTTTCAAAAATGAACGAATAAATAACAAAACAAACTGCTATTTTGAAAAAAAATAAAAATCGCCTATGAATTTACAAAATCACCTCGCATGTTACATTAAATTTAAATATTTGAATTCAAATTCCAAATTTAACAAGTTTTTAAAGAAAAAAGCGTTTATTTCATTCATTTCACAGTGAATCATTTGAATTTTTTAATTTAATCATTTTCTACTATATTTTGAATAAAATTTAAGTCCAAATGGATCTTCGAAAAAATAAATATTCACACATCATTTAAATATTTCTTTCGAGGCTTTTTCAATTTTTTATGCTTTATTCTCAATTTTTTAAAAACATGCTTTTGTTCAAAATGGACAATTGTCTTCTTTCAGTCATAACGGATGATCTGGATAAAAGTAAATTCTATACGGAGCTTTATTTGCTAACGGCACCTCTCCAAAAAACGGCATTGAAACGGCAAACGGCAAACAGCAAAAACGGCAGTTATGGAAAATTGAATTCATTATCATACCTAATGGCCAAACGATAGATGAATCCCAGCTCGAATGGCTGGAGTTAGATTCTTTCGTCTGACGAATTTATGAAATCAATCTCGAAATAAAAAATCGCATCTTCTTAGCTGTGATGCCCTACTATACGATCGTGAAATTTGGCCAATGAGAGTGGGAAATATCAGGAACTTAGGCAATATCAGGAAGCTAGGTCTTTGACCGCCCTTGCCTAAAGTACACCTTATTCACAAAGGATCAAGCCTCATATTATATCCATCTTCACTCGAATACCATCTTCATTAAACACATCGTCATCTCACTATTTGGTTAGCCCTGTGACATATGGCATCAAAAACCAGGAAAATCAATCAAGATCTGCACGACCAGGAACAGATAAGACATCTGCGGCCTTATGCGGTGGAAAAATGAGTGGTTCCAGCTACTACTCAGGATTGGTATGATCGAAAGTCATGCAAACTTTATTTTAGAAATCTAAAAAAAATCCAAATTGGCTAAATTTCTAGAAGAAATTACACCAAAGGACAGGATGATCGAGTGGTATGTTAGTTTGGACCCTTGTATCTGAACATGACAAACTCATATTAAAAGTGCTTCGAATTGCTAGGACGCCCACTGACTTTCTTCCAATGTGTTTTCTCGGATCTCGTCGCAATGGTCAGCTTAACCACTTAAACTAGAAGTGCTAAATAATATTTGCAGATGAAGAATAAAAATTGTTAGCAACTGGGTTGTCTGCAGTTCAAAACTGTAATATTCAAATATATTTTCATTTATACTTCCATCATTGTTCAGAAAAGTTTTCAACATTCAGCATATAGATTCAACATACTGACTACAGATTCTCATAAAATGCAATACCACTAGTCAGTTCTGCAACATCACTTCCATTTATCAAGAAATGAGTATCAAACCAAAAAACGGACTAATAAACATGCTACATTCATAATATCAAAATATCGAAATTGTTATAAAAACTGAATTTATTCAGAAACAACTCGTAAAAAAATTCATTTAAATAAATAAAAAATAAATAATATAGAAAACAAGAAAAAAGTAAATTAAATCCGTAAAATAATACAATCTTTCAAAACAATTTTGAACATGAACCGAAACTAGAAATACGATAAATCTTAAGATGCTATTTAATCAAAACTTTGTGCTGCTTTATCTTTATTTTGCTGTTCAAAAATCCTCTCTACTTCAATAAAATGCTGCATTTTGCCTGAGATGCAACACTGAATTTATATGATTTCAAACTATTTTTACAAAAATAATCTATGAAAAGCCAATAAATTCAAGCATAATAATCAAAATGCAAAAGAATAAAAAGAATAAAAAGAGTTTATAGTATTGTTTGTTCCAACATAATTTCTTCATAACCAGGTGGTGGATTGTAACCAAATGAAGAAAATGATACATCCAAAATTGCACCATTATCAACATAAACCATTGGAAAAATCTATAAAATATATAAATATTTCGAAAACTTTTACAAATTTTGACAATAATTTGTTGAAAGGCACCTTAGATTGAAGACATCAATCTATTTTTATTATATTCACTTTTTCATTAATTCATTTCATATAATTTTCATCGACGACCAATCGTTTCTCTCTATTGGCCTATTTAATCTATTTATCTATAAAGGAATTCAAATATTTTAAAAAAGGCAACGATTATAAAATATCAAATAAATAAATGAAGCTCAATATCTATAAAGGAATTTTATATAAATATTTTAATCCAATATTCGATGTTTGAAAGATTTTTTAAATATAACGACTTCAGTATGATTTGTCAATTAGATTCCAGTTTCTTTATAAGAATAAATATGCCACTGAATGAAATTCAAGTGGTGATGTAGACTGGACATCTACGCTTCTATCTCCAAATGGATTCAAATGATTTCCTTACGAAGATTCTAAAGTTAGTGTAGCGAGCCAAGCCACAAATAGTGAGAATGAAAAGGCATTGTTAAAACATTTTTAAGATATGAATCCACCAGACATCAATTGATTGATTTATTCGATATATTACTACGATATACTACTGTATAAGGTTATAAGTGGATATCCAACCTATCCAAGCATTTGTTTATCCCATATCACCTTTTCATTCTTCATCGTACACAGTGGTGAATGTTATTTATAAGAAAATAATTTTTACTATTACTATCATTAAACAAAAGCTATTTCTACTTCTACTTTATAACTGCTAATCCCAGAAATAATTAGAGGATAGCGACCAAATCAAATCATCAGATGACAAAAAATACTTTAAATTACCTGTCCTTTAATATTAGATATCGATAAGGGTAACCGCAAACCATTTCTATAAAATTGCAAATCAACATGGTCGAATGCGACTCCCTATAAGTTGAAAAATTAATATTCTTTGAATTTATAGATCATATAAAATACATAAAATAATAACAAAATGACTTAATTTAGTTAAAAATAAAAAATCAATAGTACAATCGAATTAGATTACGATTTTTAAGAGTCAAATAAATCCAATGCTTCTCATTATAAAAAAAAAATTTTTTCCTGAAGGATTAATTGTATTCATATATGATGAATTGGATTATTTACAATAAAAGAAATTCTGAAAAAAAAAAAGAAAACGATTATCGAAAAGATTACTATACAGTCACCCTCCTCCAGTGGTTCCGTTAAATGACCAACAACTTCACTATTTCCCATTAACTGCCCATCTTCTTTTAAAAACCAACTATTTTTACTTAAAGGGACTGAATTCAAATTGACTGAAGGGTTAGCAACACCAACACCGAAAATTCCTGTAATTAAGTAGCTAGAAGAATTTAAAAAACAAAATTCACTTTTCCAAAAATCATTTTTTATTTAGAGTTGAATACGAATAAAAATTCATCAAACTGATAATTATTGTTTTAAACAAAAGAATATGACTATAAAAACGAACATAAACAAAAGAATAAGAATATGATTTTCAGATAAATTTCGACATATTTCAAGAAAAGTAAAGATCTTTTATTTTAAAAATGCTAACCACTTTGCTGAATGCTCACTTGGAAATAAGCCTTATTTTGTAAAATAGGAGCAGTGGCCAATGCACCGCCAACTCCACATATCCTTTGACCATTTTTTAAAAGCACTACTTCATCACCTAGAAAGGTTAAAATTAATTTGTTCTGAAAAGAACAACAATAATTGATGAAATTATTTAAAAATAAGAATTAAAAATTCAAATAAAAAATTTATACTTTGATATTTTTTACTTTATTTACATAACATAAATGTGCGAATAATAAAATTTTTTTTCAACAATAAAATTTTCACTAAAAATTGAGATATTAATTTACTTACTCCAAAAATTTGCAAAAAAAATTAAAGCAAGGAAAAATTAAATGAAATTAATCAATTTTAATGCGATTAAATTGCATAGATTAAGAGCCTAGTGGATAATGATTTAGATTATCAAGCTGTGAGGCAAAGACTCCATTGATATTTCATATTACAAAGTGTTTTAAATTTAAATATTAAATATTAAAAACAAATTAAAATCAGATTAAGTCAACAATAAATTAATCAATTTATAGAAAAATAGTTGTGATAAGCCATTCGCCGACTTTATTCCTAATCTATTTGAGATGCATAATGAACATGTATGACTGACGTGTCAAGTCTGCTTAAGATTTTTCTTCTTCTTCTTTCAGTTCCTCTAAAGTTTCATTTCAATATCTATTCACATCAATTTGCATAACAACAAGTGCATCCTAGTTAAAAAAAACAAATATAAGGAAAATAAAAAACTTACCCATATGAGAAGTATCTAATCGCACTGATCGAGTTTCATTTTGAAACTGCGCATAACTCTGAGTTGCTGTAAAACTTGGCCCTTGAACACATTCAAGACATATTCGCAATGGAGGAAATAAACAGCTAAACATTATTCTGCAAAAAAAAGGAAAAATTAGAAAAGCTTCACACAGAAAAGATCAAGTCAAAATGAATTGAATCTAAATTAGAAGTTCAGAACTATGACCACAGCTTAAGCTTCAGCTGAAAACAAGAACTGAGGTCCGGCTTGTTCACCTTGTTAGCAATAGCCATGCCTTTAAATATTACATTTAAACATTAAACATTTTACATTCATAATTAATATCAAATATTCTTAATATAAGTAATATTCATATTAATTTAACTATTTAATCTATTTTTTAACTAAATTATTTCGAAAATGCATGCTAATTTATTAGTCCAATAATACAATTCAACATGATATTTTGTGGTAAAATATTGTAAAAAAAATTTATAAAGAAATGAAAAGTTTAATATTTAAATAATAAATGTGAACAATTAACCAACCACTCGGCTATCGTAGCCCTCAAAAATATTCGATATTGTTTATTATTAATAAAAAAAAACAAAAGTAAATCAGTTTATTTACTGTATATAACATTATTCTGTGTTTATAGACCCGGAAATTGTGAGGACAAGTGCAATCGAATGGCATGTATGTTGGTTCGACTGAGAACGAGGATCATCCGACCAATCGCTTTGCTTTAATAACGAGTAAACCCCTCATTAAAAATGAAATGCGGGTGGTGTTTGCACCTCACTGCTCCCACTGCTACGCCCAAAGGACTCTTCGGGGAAAGGCATTCACCTTCAATGGAATTGGCGAAATCGTCTGATTTGGTGAATGCTGTTAGAAAATCCTGATTTTCACTGTCATCCCCACTGATTTTCGCTAATAACTTTAAAAATAAAATATAATATTTGAAAGATGTGAAAAAACATTGCGCAATATCAAAATAAATAAATAATAAAAATTACATATTAAAATAATAAAATAATAATAAATACTCATAAATTTGAGAAGCATAAACGCAACTATGACGATTGATCGCAACGGTACAGTCATAAATTCTAGGCACATAATAGTGGGGCGTGGCTAATACGGGAGGGAATGCGGCTTAGAGACATTTATCAGTAATCTGTATAATTAAAAGCATATTATCAATTAAATCAGCCGACGATCTTTATATTATTCATTCCCATTCATTTAATTATCCTTTCTACGACTAAAATGGCTGATTATTTAATATATTTTTGTCATTTACTATTTTTTATATTTATATATATATATTGTTTATATATTTATATTATTTATATATATATTTCCGTTGCCCTAGCTCGGGTTGTCCGAGACTCGGTTATCTGGGTCCCGATTACTCGAGACTCGGTTATCTGGGTCCCGATTACCCGAGACTCGGTTATCTGGGTTCCGATTACCCGAGACTCGGTTATCTGGGTTCCGATTACTCGAGACTCGGTTATCTGGGTCCCGATTACCCGAGACTCGGTTATCTGGGTCCCGATTACCCGAGACTCGGTTATCTGGGTTCCGATTACCCGAGACTCGGTTATCTGGTCAAAAAAATTTAAAGATTTATAAGATTTATATTTATATTGCTTTCTAAATTTTTTCATTTATTCGATTTCAGCGAATTTCTCTCAGAAATATTTCGAAAAATGCAATAATCTCAGAACTTTATATTATATAAATTTTTATATTTCGAAATAGAAGATAAGATTTTGAAGTCTCAATTTGTGCGTTGATAATTATGGATTGAGCAAAATGAAAAATTTGGAAATCCGAGCTATAAGAGTTATTTAATATTTTAAAAGCTTAAACAAACGAATATGGGCCTACGGGTTAGTAAATCCAATAAAAAAGAGTATGGATGGTCGACTGGCACGGGTGCTTTAATTCGCGTAAGTCCTGACAGAAGTACCATTGAAAAATTTCGGTGGTGGTGGCCACTTGCATTTCAGTCGCCAAGTTTCTCCAACAAAAATTTCTGACTGTAGTTCCAGATGGCGAAGCTCTAACCAGAAATGATGAACGCTCACCATTCATGCATTTATTTAAAGGGAACACACTGTTCAATTTTTAGTGCATTATCATCTCAAGTATAGTGCAATTTGAGGCAGAAGTCTGATAGATAGTCACGTTGTTTTTTTCATTTTTCTTTATCTTCTTTTATAAAATCCATTGATAATTATTCTTGATAATTTCCTATCATAGTTACGAAATTATTTCATTATTTGCCTGAACAAGGATAAACCAGTAGTTAAAATCAAATCCATGGCTGGTGGGGATGCATCTGTATTTCTGTAGTCAAGAATATCTATGGTAGATCAACTAAATCGCAGGCAGGCTTCTGCATATATTGCACATGATACTCTTAATTCGGTGGTACATGCGAGAAATGTACAAATCGGGCTTGGACATAATAATATTAGAAATGGCCATGTCGTATTAAAGAAGCTGCTTTATTTCACCTAAGGAAGTTGGATTTAAATCTCAACCCCTATACCATACGGATATCGCTTGTCTGTCGGAATTCTGCCTTCTCATTGCACCCAGAGCAGTGGTCTTTGGTATGGCATTGGAACCTGGTATCAACAGAGAGCATCTCTAGCATAGACTTTTTGTCACCAGCACATTCTTTCAGCATTGCAGATCTAATTATGTGGAAGACAATCGAATCAGATCAGATTGACCATATATTTTGGCCAATCGTTGGTGGATATAGTAACTGAAACTAACGTCATGATTAGAGAAAGAACCGAATGAAATTAGGGCGGAAAACATAGCGCTTCCCAAAATATGCTGATCTAACTAATATTCAAACTCAAATGGACAAGTCCAAGGGATAACAAATTTTAACTTGAGGTATTGAAAGGATTTTAATAGTCCTAGTATCTCTCAACTTCCGAGGATTGCTGGTTCCAATTTGGCCTTGCTTGCAGGAATCAGCTGAATCCGCAAGATACACAAATTGAAAGAAGATGAGTTGGGTCTCAGACACTTGTCGCTTTAACTGTCCGGTTGCGCATGGTCAGGAAATGCTATCTATCAGTAGCTTCACCAGATTTGGAACTGTTGCGTCAGAATATGATGACAGCAGCTCGAGTTGGCGATCATCGAAAACTATTCCACCTGTTTAGCAAAGCAACTGGTGCTCGAAAAATGGTCAGTGAAAATGAGTCGAGATAGGAATGATCCATCAAAACCGTCAACGATAACTCTCACTCAAAGATTTCTTGAAAAGATTTCTTTGGATCTAAATTTAGCTATGACAGGTCATTCTATATTTCAAGCATAACTTGAATTCATTTAGAGATATACAATTAAGAACCACCAACGGAACACGAGATAATTTCTACAATTCGCAACAAGCTTAATTTCAATTAAAACCCCGAGATGGTCTGCAAACTGAAATCTTTAAATGCTACCTCTTTGCTGAAAAATTATAAACTGAATGTAGTTCTTCTCACAATTTCTCTGAAAAGCGACGGTAGCACTGCGATGACTATCGAAGAATCATCTTCTTAAATCTTTCTAGAAGGTTTTTGCCTATATTCTACTGTATAGGCTCATAACAATACTTGACAGCACTTGACATTACTTGACAATATCATTTTAAGAATCGTCAACCTGCCGTTACTTGCTTGATACTACTGCTGATTCGATAAACAGGTCGGCGCTCTAGTAATTCACGCAATAAGATGGTGTTTCTAGGAAGTTTATCTATCTAACTTATCAATGTATTTTTATCGGTACGTCAGCGTAGATGAATAGGGAAATGACTTCATTTTTTGAAAAACGTACCGGTGTGTGCCAAGGTTCCAAGATTCTCTCCTTTACGATTTTCAACTATACAGTAGTTTGGACTATACATTACTTGTCGA